TGGACTTGCAAGGCCAACTACCCCTTTTTCTCGAATGCGCTTCGTTGCGCGCGTCTGTCGTAACTAGGTCACGACGCAGTCGTCGCATGCGGCGGGTCGGCCCGCGATACTTGACGGACGTCGCCGTTGTCAATGGGGCATACGATTTGCGCTTAGTCCACGCTAGTCAGCTCATAGAGATGATAACACGGACAAATGCATATCATTCGCTCCCCTGACACGTGGTGGTACTATGTCATCTCGAGACCTCAGTGGGGTGCGCAGCGTGCGAAGTGGGCGCAATGACCTACTTTCGACGGACGCGCGCAACGGACGTCCCCCTTTTTCTCTGCGCTCTAGCATTCAAGGTTAGAAAAGAGCGGTGCCCTCCACCCCGCGGAACGTGCTTTCCGCGGGTCCGCCGAAACTAGGACACCCCGCCCATTCGCGCGCGGCGCAGCCCATTGCGATCTCAAGATGACATGTCAGTACAACCAAGTGTTACTGGAGCGAATGATTTGAATTAGCCCGCGTTATCTTCACTTTAAGCTGACTGCGTGGACCAAGCGCGACGCTTGTCAAAAATCGTGAACTAATACGCCGCGCGCGACGGCCGCGGAGTGTTCTAGTTTCGGGCGGGAAACCATTTGCAGCTAGTTCACAATTTTTTCATGCGCTCGCAACGAATCCAAAGCGGAACTATAAACACTCATTTAAGGAATTCAATGATCGATTGGAGTTCAACGGATCTACCTCCTCACGAATATTTGGGATAGTAGTTACTGTTGCTGTTTGAGGGTGTAGAGAATTATTGATGTCCTGAGGCTCATTCTTCTGAGGGTCCGAAGACTCACTGTTGTCGTGCTCTTCTACTGCTTGAATTTGCAGAGCATTGCAGTTGGCCTGCAACTCCTTGATCTGATGTCTTTTTTGACATTCTTCTTCACGCTGTTTTTCGGAGACTTATGTGAACCCAGAACCCAATCTTCATCTCTTCCTGAGTCATCCGCTTCATCAGCGGGGTCACTATGAATGAACGAGAATCTAGTAAGGTTCAAAACTAACCAAACTAACGGTCGCGGAAATCGCTCAAACTGATTTTGCTATTCCTGGAACACTTCCATTGTAAGTATTACCCCACGAAAAGCATATATAGATGTTTTGATGGAGGAAGGCAAGGAGCGAACCTGCCGACGACTGTACATACGAAATGGGGGGATTCTGACGTTCGTGAGCGTGTGTACAGTCACCCCTCTAGTGCGCCACCAACCCCCCCCCCCCNCCCCCACCCTCCGTGCGCTTCACCCGGGATACCTTTATGTTGCGTCCTATGTGTCACGGGTGTTTGGAGGTGCTTCAGTGTGTCTGCGGGTTACAGTGTACACATTCACAGGACGGTGCAACCCGTCTTGTTGGGGGACGGAACTTACGTGGGTCCGAGGCTGCGCGCGGCAAAGTGTGCGGTGGTTTGCACGACCTGGCGTCTATCATTGGGGCCCGAATTTGAAGTAGAGTAGAACAGTAAGATCGGCTAGCCATTTCAAACTACTTTTACTGTTACTAGGGTTTTTTGTTTACTTATGCTTATGAGTGAATTAACTTTTGCACACCGTAGTCTGAGGACCCGCACGTACGCAGTGAGACACATTGTATAGCTCGTAGAAACGCCCCCTTCTTCTTCACATTTCTGATCTCATTCTCGTCCAGCCCCCTTTTTAACGGTTGTTTGAAGCCTTTCTACTACAGAAACACCTATTAACGCAGTTTCTTCACCTTCATCGCACTATTTTCGATCTTATCTTCCATTTTTCATTATAATGTGGATTACCCAAAATTATCGTGAAGAGTGCCTCTAACTTGGATGGGCTCCAGACGAATTCATTTATAACGAAGTCAGGAAGCAACAAAACTTTTGCCTTTTCTTGCGATTTGGACGAGACCAAGATCTCAGAGGGCCCTCCTTCTTATTCTCGACTGATGAAAGCAGATTTCTCGTACACGCTGAAATGCTTCGGTCGGATTCCACTAGTTGTCCCTTTTAGCAGCCCACCTCCTTTTTCTTTCTACACTCATTCTTCTGGTCAGTCATTCTCTCTTACGATTTCTCACGCTTTTTTCGGATTTATTTTTTGCTCTCTCAAAGGCACAGTTCGCGATAATTCACTGGGCGGGTATGTCAATGACGTGTCCGCCTCTCATTCGATGACAGACAGTCTAACGTGACATCGAATGAGTAGCGGACACGTCATTGACATACCCGCCTATTGAATTATCGCGAACTGTGCCTTTAATGGTTGAAGTAAGACTATTGCTAGTGAGATTCTCATGTTATGCGGCACAACCTCAGGTGTATTTGAGTTGATCTATGAATACAGAAACTTGCTTCAAGATATAACTAGCCCTTACAGACCCCTAATCTCACCACGTCCTTTCAGAATTTTTTTTTTTTTGAAAATAGAAAATTTTGTTTCTATCTCTAAGCTTGTTGCGAGCAATCGTCCCTACAATAGACTCAGAGATAGAAAAGAAATACATAAAAAGCTAACCAACAATTCACAAGACTGGTAGAACGGCTGTCAAGAGGCATCATCGTCCAAAAAACGTTTATCTGAATTCTGCTCTTTTGGAGGAACAGGAGACTGGGAATAAAGCCGTCTGGCGGCCAAAGAGACAGTCAATGAAGATACCTGCCACCAGAGTTCAATCACATCTGAAAGAAAAACGAAGCAGTAACTAATTCAGGTGGAAATGTCGTTGGGAAGGGGCACCGCTACTATCCAACAGTGAGCACTGGGGCGCAGAGGAAGGGGTACGTGGGTTAGATAATTACCCTGTACAAAAAGCCAGGAGGTAAAAATTGTCAATTTAATGGATTTACTCTCCCAGGTACTCCTTCTCTCCTGAAGCTTAGGTATAAAAAAACTATAATTTCTCGGCTATGAAACGTTCCTAAACATCCTCATGGGCTCGCGAAATCGGGTACCCCTAGTTCTCAGCGCTCTGGCGCTCAGTTTTGTAAAACTTCACAACTACATTCGAGTAAGCATTATAAAGTAAAATCATGAAAGTCTGGAAAGCATTGTTGATAGCTGTAGATCTTCCTCACCTCTTTTTTATATCGATCACCATGGACATCGAATTTTCTAAGTTTTCGGCTCTTCAGCCCTCTTTTTCATGAAACCTTTGACAAGAACGGTGGTAGGGTTGATATCGAACCTCCTTTGATCGATAGTCCAGTTTCTGTAAGAGGAACGAGCTGACTAATATGTCCAAAGATTTTCATGAAGATGCATTGTGGTGTAGATTATATTTGTGTGCCATAATATTGTTATTCAACGAAAATGTGAAGCTTAGAATTCCAAAACGAAGTATAGCCTATGCCGTCAGAAAGAATAATTTGAAAAACGAGGAGGATGAAACGGGTGGTCGCTTCCTGCAACCGTCGGGTAACTACTAATTGATGTTTAGGTCATGTGGGAACGAGCATGATGATCTCATGGGTCAAACTCAAAAACTCGATATAAGTAAAACATGATTTCCGAATCCTTCGATGTATTTCTTACTGTGAGAACTGCTGAAACGGGCTCTTGCCATTGAGATCACCCGAATCCGAAGGAAAAAAATCAATACTCAAGTCAGATTGTGGTTGTGGTTCTTCT